GCATGGACCAGGTGGTACCTGGAGGTGAAGTGAAGGCGCATGTCCGGGGCCTTTCCGAGTGAGTGGAAGAAGTGCAAAACGAACTCCGAACCTCAGTCAAATGTCATGTGCGATGGAACTCCATGCTTAGAGAAAACGTGCAGGACAAACAAGTCTGCAAGCTCCTGGACTTTCAGCATATCGTGCGTCAGGATGAAGATGGCTTGTATAGTGAAGCAATCTACCACGACGAGAATTGCCGTGTAGCCTTTAGAGTTGGGGAGTTGCTCAATGAGATCCATGGAGATGGAGTTTCAGGGGTGTTCAGGGATCGGGAGCTATTTCAGCGTATCGTAGGGGAGGTGCCTGGGCACCTTAGCGTGGGCACAGGCCGTACAGAACTTGCAGTAGTTGCGGACTAGCAGTTGGAGTCTGGGCCATGCATAGTCCTGAAGAATCAGGGCCTGAGTCTTGTTCTGGCCCCAGTGACCTGCGGTCTGATGGTCGTGACAGGATCAGAGTACACAGAGTCGGAGATCACTGATGTTCGGTACATAGATACAACCATTAAGTCGGAGCCAGCCCTCTTCATCTTTGAACCACCGGGGGTTGCTTCCGGCTGCAAGTGTGAGGCCTTTGGCAAGCTCTGGAGTTGGGGACTCAGAGTTGAGGGCTGACCGGATATCAGATCGGAGTTGTTCCTCATCCAGGAGAAACAAGGCTCAGAGTACAGGACACCATAAGACAGTCGCACAAAGCGAGGAAGCTAGCTGTTCCTGCATAAACACAGGCCAGAAGTTGTGTGGGTTGACTACAGCGTAGTCACCATCCCCCTCTTTTGGGTAAACGTCCAGTCTGTGGGTTAGAGCGTCTGGCTTCATGCCTAGCTTCCTAGGGTGAAAACGGATGACCAGGTTGAAATGCGAAAGATACTCCGACCATTGGGCTTGATGGTGGGTAAGAAGTTTGGTAGTGGAAAAGTACTCCAGGTTCTTGTGGTCCGTGACAATGTCGATCGGAGTTCCGGATCCTTCAAGATAGTGTCGCCAAGTCTTAAACACTTCGAAGATGGCTAGGAGTTCCTTATCATGTATGTTATAGTTCATCTCTGCTCCGGACAAGGTGTGCGAGTAGAATGCGATCAGGTAAAGTTCACCAGAGTCGGACGTGATAGAGAGAATGCCAGCAATAGCATACATAGTCCGACGTGTCAGTTTCAACCGTGATTTGGCGGTTAGGGACCCAGTTTTGGAGGACTGGCACAGTTGTAAACACCTTGAGGATGTTAAAAGAAGTTCAGCACTTCTCGTCAAAGTTCCAGGGGACTCCTTTGCGGGTCAAGCAGGTGAGGGGGAGGACAATCTCGGAGTAGTTATGGATGAATCTGGTAGAAATTTGCAAACCCAAGGAAGGACTGAATGTCACGGACCTTGTGGGGTTCAGGCCAGTCCAGGATAGCTTTCACCTTAGATTCTGCCATAGTGAGACTATCCGGAGAGAGGATGTAACCAAGTTACTCTACGGAGTTGGTGTAGAACTCGCACTTGTCTGTGGAGTGTACAAGTGGTTTTTCTGGAGTCATCAGAGTACCTCCCAGACATGTTTCCAGTGTTCATCGGGGTTGTTGGAGTACACCAGGATGTCATCCAAATAGACCACAACACATATGTCTAGGAGGTCCGCAAAGATCTCATTGATGAAGCGCTGGAGAGCTGCAGGTGCATTAGAAAGTCTGAAGGGCATAACGAGCCATTCAAACAAGCTGTAGTGGGTACAGAAGGCTGTTTTCCACTCATCTCCGGGAGCTATTTGGACCAGGTTGTACACATGCCGGAGGTCAATCTTGGTGTAGATTCGCTTCTGGGGCACTTCTAGCAGGTCTGAAACGAGTGGAAGCGGATAGTGGTCCTTGCACGTAATTTTGTTGAGTCCGTGATAGTCCACGCACAGCCGTAGGGATCCGTCCTTCTTCTTCACGAAGAGGACCAGAGCTCCGCAAGGGGACTTCAAGGGCTAGATGAACCCCGAGCGGAGGTTCTCCTCTATGTACTCCCGGAGCGTCTCCAGCTCTAGTTTTGATAGGGAGTAAATTGGACCAAGCGGAGGGGTAGCACCGTCCTTGAGTTCAATCTTGAGGTTATATGGGCGGTGCTCCGGAAGGACGTCAGCCTTGGTCTTGCTGAAGATGTCTGCAAAGTCGTGGTATTCCTCCAGAACTCTGGTGAGGTCCGTTGGAGACTCCGAGATGCTAGCAGTGTGGCCATGAAGAGACATTGCAGACAGATTGAGCGTAAAGCTCTCAGAACCAGAAAGCTTGCAGGCGCGGACAAAGGCCATGGCACTGACAAGAGATATCTGGGGAACGGACTTCAGAAGTTCGGAGTTCAGAGTAGTTGGGGTAGTTGGAGTAGGCTCCAGGAGGGCCTCAAAGTTTTGCGGTACCGGGTCAGATACAGGACAAGTCGGAGGTGTGGTTCAAAATTGAATGCTGCGCTTCTTTTAGTCAATCAACGGATTGTAGTCGGAGAGCCAGCTGTATCTCAGAATGGCAGACACGGTCTTGTCGAGCAGAGTAACGTAAAAGTCAACGGAGATAACTTCTCCCGAAGGAAAATGTAACAGCATAGTTGCTTTTTGCATGATGGTGTTATCAGACAAACCATCAAAGAGTTGCAGACGGAAGGGCGGAGTTCCAAAGGTTGGAACTTCGTGCTTAGAGACAAAGTCCGAGTCAAGGAAGCAGTGAGAAGAACCAAAGTTAATAAGAGCAGAGAACGGAGTAGGGATAGAGTCAGAGTACAAGGAAAATATGAGAGAGGACGGATCAGAAAGAGCGAACACATTGAGTCTAAGGGGTGGATCCGCACGGGAAAGTTTAACACAGCTTTCTCCACGCGCAGAGGTTGGAGGGCTGCGGACGAGTTTTTTGGTTCCTCTGGGACCTTAGGGGTTTTCGGAGGTCCCTTCAGAGTTGCCTCGGGGTTCGCCTGCAGCTCAGGGCTTGGTCGCGGACGAGGTTTTCTTGGGGCAGGCTCCTACCATATGTCTGGGCTCACTGCAGAAAAGGCAGAGGTTGTTGGTGAAACGGTGCTGCCTTTCTTCTTGGGTTAGCTTACCATCCTTGCCCAGCCTATCGGAGTAGGGCCTAGAGGGTTTAGCTGACTTGGACGGACCACTGGGGGTTCTGTCAGACTTGGCTGGAGTTGCTGCTGGGTTGGGCACAGGGTTCTGGGCAGCCTTCTGAGAAGAGTATCTCCTCATGCCGGAGTTTGAGGTTCTATTGCCAGACTTGGTGGGGGCCGAGTGCTCGCGCGACTGTTCAGCCTTGCGCTCCCAGTAGCAGTGGTTCAGGGACTGTGCGAGGTTGCGCAGGCCTTCAAGTGTGGCAGGCTTGCCGACTTTGGAGATGCGGTCCTTGAGGCGAGCTGGGAGCCCCTTGTAGAACTGATATCGGAGGGCGGCGGTACCCCAACAGACTTGAGTGGCCAAGTGGCCAAACTGGGTAATGTACCGTGTGATCCGCTGATTGTCGGCCATGCGAAGGTTCTCCAAGTCATGCTCCGCAGTTCCGGTAGCGTCGTAAGGTCTGAAATTAATCTGGAGTTCATCCTGGAAGGCCTCGTAGGAGTACAGGAAAAGCGGAGGCTCCTCGGAGTAGCCTTCTAGAAGGTAGGGCTCAAATCACTGTAGCGCAGTGCCCTTGAGGTAGGACAGCGCGTAGGTGACCTTGCGCTCATCGGAGTCGAAGGTCTGGGGCCGCGCCTTGAAGACCAACTCCAGCTGAGCGAAGAAGGCCCTAAGTTTGCTAGGGTCCGAGCTGTCAAAGGTGTCCGGATCTCGGACATTGTTGCGCTCGCGAGGTCCTCCAGTCGGAGTTGGCACCTGGGCAGGCTGTTGGAGCGTTCGAGCAAGGAGCTCAATGGCTCCCACGAGTTGCTGGGATGAGTCCAGTGGGTGCGAAGTGTTGTGGGGCTGAGGGGCTGCCTGAGGGTTAACTGGAGGGTTAAGGAAAGGGTTGTTTGGGCTACTCCGTGCGGATAGCGGAGGCGGAGAGCAGACTGTGGTTTCTCCGGGGAGGTCCTGTCCTAGCAGGTGTGAAGGCACCAGGACTTGGACACGCGTCGGAGTAGTCGGAGTACGGGGTGCGGCTGGGTACAATTGCCGAGGGACTCGCGAAGAGAACCCACGGAAGGCTTGGTCAGGGTTGGACGGAGGTTGGCGATCCATGACGAGTACTCGGGGTGAGTTTGGATATACTGTTAGGAGCCAGGACCGAAGGCAGGGGGTCAGGGTAGAGCCGGTGTTCAGGTTCAGAGTTTGGACTTCGGGCCTGGGGCAGGGAGGACTTTGGCGAAGCTATTAGCAACACCTCGAGCTACTCACCTGGTGTCCTCTATTTACGGGCGGGGACCGCACAACTGGGTGACTGGAGTTCGGGCTTCAGAGTTGTTGGGGAACGAGTGAATTGGATCAGATATGAGGTAGAGAGTAGATGACAGGAGACGAGATGGTTAAACAAGAGGGTTAACGAGGTGGTTAACGAGATATCCGAACTGAGGAATGCGGACATTCCAGGCAGACTTAAATACTGCGAGGGTGTGAATGGAAAAGGGGCAGGAGTCCGGAGCTGATCGAACTCCGGACGGACATGAGGTAAGTCCAATATCCGGAGGTTGGAGTACCGTCAGCCCTGAGTGAAACCTAACACTACAAGAATACCTGAAACTAATGAGAGGGACAGAAACAAGGAAAGACTGAGGAAGCACAAGGCGTGCTGTCGGGAGGGACCAAGGGCCGAGGTCCGACGGCCAGAGTTGCATGGAGTTGAGAACCAGAGTTCGGAGTAGGTTCGGAGATGGCACTTGTACGCACGGCCGTAACAGCATGGTTGTTTTCCTCTTGCCCAGTTGACTCTGTATTATAATGTTAATCTCTTTGCTGATATCTATTTCTAAACCTGTAAGGCAAATGGGGTACTGAGAAACGCTGCAGAGCCCGACCTGTTGAACAATGGAAAATACTGGTCAGACCAGGGATCGAACCCGGGTCGTCCCATATATACTAGGAGGTGTTATCAACTACACCACCCAACTGATACTAGGATGTGAACTTAGTTCACAATGACCCTGCAATCACTGTGAGTGTTCTTCAGCGACAACATTGCCAGCCTGACCTATCCCACACACGGTCACACCTGCCTCCCCAGAACATGCCACGGCAGGCAAGGGGCGGAGACCCCCCGGGGCTATGTGCATGGGATAGCGGCAACGGGCGTTTAACTAGCGCGCGGCTATCGCACGCCCGTAACAGGCTGCGTTAATTAAAATATACACTGGATGTTGTCCATATATGGTGATATCCGAAAAATAAACTTGCGCATGGCCATATGAATCCGTGCGATAGCCTGTTCATAGTCTACATATAACATGCCTAGGGTACAATGTCACAACCCCTATTGCCCAGTTGAATATATATTACAATGTTAATCTGTTCGCCGATATTTATTTCTAAATCTGTAAGGAAAATGGGGTACTGAGAAACACTGCACCGTCACACCCAACCCAACCTCACCGCGCACCGTCACACCCGACCCCACCTCGCCGCACACGGTCACACCCGACCCCACCTCGCCGCACACGGTCACACCCAACCCCACCTCGCCGTGCACCGTCACACTTCCTGCCACCTTTTCATGCACGGTCACGCCACCGAATCCCACCTTCTCACGCACGGTCATGCCACCCAATCCCACCTCCTCACGCACGGTCACACCCAAGCCAACCTCACCACACACCGTCACACTTCCTGCCACCTCCTCACGCACGGTCACAACCAACCCAACCTCGCCACACATGGTCACACCCAACCCCACCTCGCCATGCACTGTCACACTTCCTGCCACCTTCTCACACACGGTCATGCCGCCTGACCCCACCTCACCATGCACTGTCACACTGGACAGTGTGCAGCGAGGGTGGTGTGACTGTGCACAAGAAGGTGGTGGTGGCAGGAAGTGTGACAGTGCACGGCGAGGTGGGGTTGGGTGTGACCGTGCGTGAGGAGGTGGGATCGGGTGGCGTGACCGTGCATGAAAAGGTGGCAGGAAGTGTGATGGCGCGCGGCGAGGTGGGGTTGGGTGTGACCGTGTGCGGCGAGGTGGGGTTGGGTGTGACCGTGTGCGGCGAGGTGGGGTCGGGTGTGACGGTGCGCGGTGAGGTTGGGTTGGGTGTGACCGTGCGTGAGGAGGTGGGATCGGGTGGCGTGACCGTGCGTGAGAAGGTGGCAGGAAGTGTGACCGTGCGCGGCGAGGTGGGGTCGGGTGTGACCGTGTGCGGCGAGGTGGGGTCGGGTGTGACGGTGCAGTGTTTCTCAGTACCCCATTTTCCTTACAGATTTAGAAATAAATATCGGCGAACAGATTAACATTGTAATATATATTCAACTGGGCAATAGGGGTTGTGACATTGTACCCTAGGCATGTTATATGTAGACTATGAACAGGCTATCGCACGGATTCATATGGCCATGCGCAAGTTTATTTTTCGGATATCACCATATATGGACAACATCCAGTGTATATTTTAATTAACGCAGCCTGTTACGGGCGTGCGATAGCCGCGCGCTAGTTAAACGCCCGTTGCCGCTATCCCATGCACATAGCCCCGGGGGGTCTCCGCCCCTTGCCTGCCGTGTGCCACACCCGACCCCACCTCGCTGCACAGTGTCACACTTCCTGCCACCTTCTCATGTATGGTCACGCCACCCGATCCTGCCTCGCCGCGCACTGTTACACTTCCCGCCACCGCAGTTCGCAACACCCGTGCACTCTAATCCAACTGTACCACACAGGGTCACACATCCCTCCCCAGAATGTGCCACACCCAACCCCGCCTCGCCGCGCAGCATCACACTTTCTGCCACCTTCTCACGTATGGTCACGCCACCTAATCCTGCCTCGCCACGCACCGTCACACCTCCCTCCCCAAAACATACCATACCTAACCCTGCTTTGCCACGAACATCACGCTTCTCATCACCACCTTCTCGTGCACTGTCACGCCACCCAACCCTGCCTCGCCATGCACCGTCACTCTAGTTTGGTGTTGGTATTCCGTTGTGCACAAGGAGGTGGGATCCAGTGGTGTGACTGTGTGCAAGAAGGTAGTGGTGGAAAGTGTGACAGTGAACAGCAAGGCAGGGTCAGGTGGCGTGACAGTGCATGAGAAGGCAGTGGCGGGAAGTGTGATAGTGCGCAGCGAAGCAGAGTTGGGTGTGGCATGTTTTGGGGAGGGAGGTGTAATGGGGAGGGAGGTGTGACAGTGTGCGGCAAGGCAGGGTTGGGTGGTGTGACAGTGTGTGAGAAGGTGGTGGCGGAAAGTGTGACAGTACGAGGCAGGGTTGGGTGAAATGAATAGCCAGGCGGCATGAGCCTTAGATAGTTAACCTATTCTTGTTGCAGTTAAGTGGAAGGCCACCTGCAGGTTAAATATGAGCGCCGGCAATGCGCATGTCAGATTCCCTAAACAGGTAAATTAACGTGTAGCTATGACATTGTTCCCTAGGCATGTTATATGTAGACTATGAACAGGCTATGGCACGGGTTCATACAGTCATGCGCAAGTTTACCCTTCGACTATCACCATATATGGACAACACCCGGTGTATATTTTAATTAATGCAGCCTGTTATGGGCGTGCAATAGCCGCGCGCTAGTTAAACGCCTGTTGCCGCTATCCCATGCACATCGCCCCGGGGGGTCTCCGCCCCTTGCTTGCCTGCCGTGTGTATTGCTGATGTGGCCTGCCATTGTCTAAGTCCGAGAGCCGAAGAGACCGGCAGAAGGGATAGCTGATTTGGTTATGCCATTGCCCGACAGGTCACGATATATGCAATTAATAGTGGATAAACGATTCTCCGTTAGTATATCGGTTAGTACACGCGCCTGTCACTTTGAGCTGGCCGCGCGAAAGCGGGGTTCGACTCCCCGACGGAGAGACACTTTTGTCTCGACGTCAGTGACGTCGTGGTCTCCGAGCTGCTGCCTTCTGTTCCGTCGTCTCTGCACGTCTTCGCGGCTGCACACCGTAACAGCAGCTGCAGAACACCCTTGCTGGCCATGCTACGCTGGTCTGCCACTCGGTCAATCCCTCGTTATCCAGTCTCATCCTTTGTGCGCCGTCATGCTTCCTCAGACGTTTCCCAACAGCAGCCACCCGCTCCCTCTTATGTCCGCACAGCGGCCTACGTGTCCCTCTTTGCCGTGGGGACAGGTCTCTTCGCGGTCTACTATTTCGACTGTCGCGCCGCGCTGCATAGATACATCATCACACCTGTGATACGGTACACGCTCGACCCGGAAACGAGCCATAAACTTGCCGTCCGGGTGCTTGGGTCAGGTCTCGCGCCAAAAGACCCGATTCCGGATGATGAGGTCTTGAAAGCTGAGGTACGTGCGTGTTGTACAGCATACTGGAGGGACATCGTGTAGACGTACTTGATGCGGCAGCTATGGGGTGAACAACTCTCGAGTCCAATAGGACTTGCTGCTGGCTTCGACAAGAACGGCGAGGCTGTCGATGGTACGCCAGCGTTCGCTCTCTTTCCTGCACGTTGTAACGCGTCCGCCAAGCGCTCTTCAACCTCGGTTTCTCTTGGGTCGAGATTGGCAGCGTCACTCCAAAGCCTCAGCCCGGTAACCCAAAACCGCGCGTGTTCCATCTACCAAACGAGTCTGCCCTCATCAACCGCTACGGCTTCCCTTCGGATGGCCATGCAGGGGTGTTGTCTCGATTGCGGTCGCGTATTCCGAAGGCCATCCCCTATGGCTCAGGTTCGGAAAGTGAGGATCCCCTGCAGGGTGTGGAGCACGCTTCGTTATATCCCGACAAGCTGCTCGCGGTGAACTTGGGGAAGAACAAGTCATCTCCACCGGATTCCATCGCGGACTTTGTCACTGGTGTGCGCACATTTGGACCGTATGCCGACGCGTTGGTCGTCAATGTGTCAAGTCCAAACACCCCAGGGCTTCGGTGCGCGTTTCGTGTATGTTTATGTCGTTCTGGCAGAATCTTATGATGTCTATAGTGGTATGCAAAGCCGTACTGTACTGGCGGAGCTGTTGGCAGGGGTGACTGCCGCGCGAGACGAAGTCAGCGCTGCGTCCGCCAACAAGCACCGGCCGAAGCTCCTTCTCAAGATCGCGCCAGATCTGGATGAGGCCCAGGTTGCGGACATTGCCGCCGCTGTTCGCGAGAGCTCCGGCGTAGACGGTGTCATCGTCAGTAATACGACCATCCGGAGGCCCCCAAGCGTCTCTGATCGTACGTACTTTTACGTCCTGTCTAAAGATAGCAGCTCATTGTGCGCCCAGCGAACAAGGTCGAGCAGGGTGGGCTGTCTGGCCCTCCGCTGAAGCCGTATGCGCTTGCAACACTACGTACTCTCCGGAGCATGCTGCCGCCCTCCATCCCGCTCATCGGGTGTGGGGGTATCTCCTCCGGAGCAGACGCGCTTGAATACGCGCGCGCGGGCGCGTCCACTGTGCAGCTGTACACTGCGTTCGGATACGGCGGGGTCGGCGTGTGCAGGCAGGTGAAGGACGAGCTCGCGCAGCTCCTCAGGCAAGAAGGCAAATCGTGGTCGCAGATCGTGCACGAAGCGGTCGCGCAGAACAGCCTCAAGGAAACCACAGTCAAGGCTGCGACGGCAGAAACTGCGGAAGGAGATAAGGGCGAAGAGGCGACCTCGCGCGAGTCAAACATAAGGATGCTCGTGGAGGAGGCGGAGGAGCTAAAGCGGCTCCTGGACGGGCTTGGGGAGCGGATCGAGAAGAAGGCAGAGGAGGGCGTGAGCGTCGCCGGTGGCGCGCAGTACGTCGCCGTGACTCCTCGCCCAACCGAGTCGTGACCTAGGACGCCGTCCAACGTTCGGATCCTGTGTCTAGAGGCGAGCACAGACTAGATATACTCAATTTGAGCCACCTGTAGAAGCACCGTCGCCGGTCATACCGAGTTCACTGCGGCCAGACTTGAGCGCTTGAGCGCCAGGGCTGTTGATCATTATCTCCTAGTAATTGGCGCCCGTTCGCCTTCGA